ATATTTCTTTTTATAATTAAATAACAAGTTCACTAATAAATCGTGAAAACTAGAGTGATAATATTCTCATTTTCTAAAGTTTTTTTCCTGTTTGACTTTTTAAAATGAAACTAGATGAATTTTAATCGTTAAGTACATAGAAATTTTATTACATATTAATAGAAAAAAAATTTAGAAATTTTGAGAACAAATATACAATTCAAATTTTATTTATATAATAATCAAAATTTGTGGGTTGCACAACTTAAAATGCTAGTAATGACATTTTTAGTGAAATGAAAGAATTGAAAAAGAATAAGTGGGGTGTATTATATTTAGATTTTAAAAGATTTTAAAAGATTTCTTAAAATCCATGGATTATGTAAAATCTATGGATTGTTTTAATTCCACACAGAGTTAAATAGATTGTAATATATTTTATCAACAGGATTTTAAAAGATTTTGTCTGATTTGTTAAAAAAAACCTTTTCCGAAATTAGATCCCTTCGGTCACTGCACCAGGACCTCGGCTCTGTTCGATGAGAAAAAGTTTTCAGGAGCTTCATCCTCTACCCCACCACACACTCACAATGTCACTTAGGCCCCGTTTGGCATCAACGTTAGAGATTAGCGTTAACATTTTGAAAAAAGCTATCCGACGGTAGCCTTTAGCGTTAGCTTTTTCAGAATTAATCTGCACCATTAAAATTTTATCTAAAACGCTAACGCTAATCGAAAACGCGGTTACCAAACAAAGCCTTATTTGTTCCATTTACAGAAAAACATAATGAAATTTGTCAACAAATCCGAATAAAAATGATAAAAAATAATCAACATAATTGAAACAATTTTATTAACAAAAGAGGAAACAATAGAAGCCATACAAACTACGGGATTGACCAAAATGACTTCATACAAATTCTCGTAACAAGTGCGATGAACAAAATTCATAAATTTTGAAAAAATCTATCCATTGAAAATTTGAAATCCCTTCCATTAAACACACTTGCTTCAAGATTGCTAAAATTCTATGTCCGGCAGGTATGCACTACGAAAATTCATCTTCCTTTTCGTTTAGACCATTGGACAGTCGTCTCCAAGCCTCTGTCATCGTTCCTACGTCTTCTTCTCGTTGAGGTGTAATGCTGCCAGAGCAGATGCCGTCAGGGGCGGACCCAGGATTTTTTACCATGGGGTCGATCATATATTTAAAAATGTGAGAATATATTTCATTTGTTGGGTCATAAGTAAAATAATATTCATATATGGTATCTACATGTAATATACTTTTCTTAAACTGACGTTCAGAGTTTACTATAAATTTTTAAATGTGATGGATGAATCATTTGAAAGTGAAAGATGTACCATAAGAATTTATTTTGAAAAAATGAGAAATAATATCAACTACATATATTTTTTCTATAAATAAGTAAAGTGTAAAGTTTATGAATTTTTTCGATATAGAAGAGAATAGACAAATAACAAACAGGTATGTTGATTTATAGTTTAATACGAAAGGAGATACAAAATTTTTGAAGTACTTAGGAAAATCGAAATACTCCACAAATATAAATTTTACGTAGATTTTCAAATGACATGGATAAAATATTAAAAGTTTAAAGTTCTATTTAGTAGAAAATACAGATAATTAATACGGAGTATCACTCGTATGTGTTTTTCTAAAAATGAGTAACATTTTAAATTTATAAGTTTATTTCAATATAAAAATAATAAAACAATAAAACAAACAAGAGGTCCAAAGTACAAAACTAGTCGCAAAAAATTGTTTCCCATATAGATTTTCAAATGACATGGATAAAACATTAAAAAGTTAAAATTCTCTTTATTAGAAAATAAAGATAATTAATACGGAGTATCACTTATATTTTTTTTCTAAAAATGAGTAACGTTTTAAATTTATAAGTTTATTTTAACATAAAAATAATTAAACAATAAAACAAACAAGAGGTCTAAGAGCATGTGCAATGGCGTGGAGTCTCTCATGCCTTGCTCATGCCTCACTGCCACATCATCACAAAGGACATTATTCTATGCGTGGAAGGAGCATGACACCTCTCTTTGCAAGTCACAACCGTGGCAATCTTGTCCCTATTTTATTTTTTTTAATTTTTTTTCTTTTCTTTTTTTAAAGAAAAAAATCTCTTAATTTTTTTGAGTAAGTAGTAATATTTTTATGATATATAAAATAAGTATAATAATTTTTAATAATTAAAATATGTCAAAAAATATAAAAAGATAATAAAAACTATGACTTATCATTGTAAAGTTTGACACTCCACTCATTTGCCACACGCTGACTAGATTGTTTTTTATTGGTTAAAATACTCCACGTCAGCGTGTGGCATTCCATTCATTACTTGACATTACCCATGCTCTAAAAGTACAAAAAAACTAGTTACAAGATCTATTCCATGCCCATGTGGGCACGGGGACTCGAACTAGAGACATGATGCTTAGCATTGAAGTGTGCAACCATTAGGCTGTTCAACCAGGTATTTAGTCTCCCAATTTTCGTATTATATATACAGATATCCATTTTATCCAACAAAATAGAGTATATTACTATAAAATTACGTGGAGGTCCGTGGGGTCGCTTGACCCCGTATGATCCTATGTGGGTCCGCCCCTGGATGCCGTCGTCCAGGAGCTTCGTCCATCACGCTTCGAGTCTTCAATCCCGCGGATAACCATGGCCAGGGGAAGGGTCAAAACCCTAGGCCGGCGCCACCATCCTCCTTCAGTCCGTTGCATATGCTTCCGATCTGTCGAAGCAGGATGTGTTGAAGAGGGATAAAAATCCCTACAAAGGCCAAGGTCGTAAATCTATATAGCCAAAAGACGAAGGGATGAGCAAAGTCTGTTAAAGTCCTCTGTTGTTACAATAGATTTGTCAGAAGATTTTTGCAGAGAAAAACAACACTCAAATCCATCAAAATCCACCTCTAATAAAAATCTTTCAAAATTTCTAATAAAAATCTTTCAAAATCTATGAATTGTTTAATACCATCAGATTTCAATAGACATTTTAATTTTTTTTAAAAAAAATCTCAATTGAATACCTACTAACATTTTAAATCTAATAAAATCTTATAAAGTCTGGATTGAATACACCCTCTTAAATTTGTTGAAAAAAAGATGAAGAAAACTCTTATAGAAAACAAGTGGAGACAAAATAAGATTTAAAAAGAAATTTTTAACAAATTGCTTACAACATAAGAGTAATGATTTTAATACTCTCTCTATTCCAATTTATTCATCCAATTTAACTTTTCAAATTAAAGTGAACAAACTTTAATAATTAATTAGTATCAATTTGTATCCCATATTAATACAAATAAATAAGATTATGAAAATTTTAAACAAGATAAATCTAAGTAAATTGTTTTTAGACTAAAATGTATTATAACTTTTATTTAATTGAGGTCTTTAATTTTTGTTAGTTTGTTTAAAAAATATCAAAGTAGGCGAATATACTAGACGAAGGTAATATACTCTCTCCGTCCACAAATAAACTTCTCGTTCACTACTCACATGATCAAACTTTATTTACTTTGTTGCCCTATTTTTGTCACTCATTTGATAAAATAATATAGTCATGTCAATTATAGTTTTGTAGATCTTATCATATAGTTTTTTAATATGTAATTTTTATTTTTAAATCTTACACCATTTTTCATTTAAAATGATTTGAAAATAACTCCTGTCAAAATCATAACGCACAACATGAAGTTTATTTATGGACGGAGTGAGTATTAATAAAATCTTCTCTCATATTTGGAAATAAAAATTGTAATACTGTTGAAAAATAGTTAGTTCCATTTATTAATTTTTTTTGCTCTAACGTGTACTAGCATGTTAAAAGGAAAGACAGTAGCATATTTGTTAGGTAAAACGAATTATGGCAGTATCATCACAAAATAAAACATAGTGTTATTTTTGACAAAATATACTAGTTTGGTGGCATTTTTAGAACTACACTTCAATCTTATACTCTCTTTGTTCCAATTGAAATTTTCGATCTACGTTAACAATGTTTGACCATTATTTTCAATTCAGCTTATTTGGTTATATTATTTTATCAAATAAATGACAAAAATAGGGAAACAAAATATATAAAAATTTAACCTTGTTGATAATATAATTAAAGATTCAAGTGGGATGGAAGAGTAGAACAGATATATGGTGCAATCGGTGGTACTTGAAATAAGGTACGACTGAGTAGTACTTATCCCGATGTAAAGTAATACACTCATTCTCACATAAACATAAATATTTATTTTGAAAATATTATGGTACTTATTCTGAAATAACGTAGTCCTCTTTCGGAAATATTGTAGTGCTCATTTTTACATACTAATATAATATACTCCATCCGTCCCACTTTAGATTACAATATTCCATTTTTGTTGAAATTAAGCAAGAGTCAAATCAAATTTTTTCCCCAAATTACCCCCCAAATCCCCCAAGTATCCTTTCACTCACATGGATGAATAGTGTGTGAATAGTGTAGGAGTGGGAGGGTAAAAGAGTCAATTCCTTGTAAAGTTATTGATTTTGTAATTCTTTTTGGGACAAAAATGTGAGGGAATATTGTAATCTATTTCGTTACGGAGGGAGTATAAAGTAACTATAATATTCATCTACGAATAATGTAATGTTCATTGTGAAACAAAGTAGTATGCATTCTCAAATAAACTACTCCATCCGTCCCGCTATATTCGTCCAGTTTTGACTTTTGGAACTGTTCATCTAAGCACTTTGACTCGTCAAATTCTCTCAATGTGTAAGCCTAAATATAGTCATGTGTGATCTTGTTTGATTTGTCTTAATATATAGATTATTAATATATAATTTATATAATTTTTTAATATATAAATTACAAGATAAAATGAATTAAAGAAGTGCATTGGATGATGTGCAAAAATGAAAGTGGTTAAATATAGTGGAACGGAGGGAGTACTATATAAACTTACTTTCATTCTAATCTCTTCAACTTCGCTGAAATCTTCACTCCCACCCTAGGGTTTCCAGCTTCCTGGAACGCCGCCGCCACCATCGTCTTAGCTAGTCCTTAGATCTGTCATTCTCCATCGTTTTCGCCACCATCACTCCTCCCGTTGTCGTCGCCTCTCCTTCGCCTAGCTTCTTCGATCGCCACCCTCCATTAATCGGCTCCTCTCCTCCTTCACCGAACTTCCTGGATCGAAGAAGTAGTTGTCTGGTGAGTGAATCAAATCGCGGATTAACATGTGTACTACAAACAATTTGATTATCACATAGAGATTTTAACATTTTCTTGGACTCACAATCAATTGCAGATTTAACACTGACAATTAACACTAACAGACAACTAGAAGCTTTTGTTTTCAGCTTATGTGTTTTTCATCCCACATTGTAAAACTTTGCATTTTAGTTTTATTTTCAAATGAAAGTTTCTGAGGGTTTAACTTCTAATTTGGTTTCTAAATAACTAGGAATGGTAGTCGAAAAAAATGAACGCTATGTTTGGTTCTTAGAACTCGAAAGGAAAAGAAAAGAAATATGTTTGGTTAGTGAAAGAAATGTTGTTTTCCTTCTTAGTAGTTCATTTCTTCTCCCATTTGCTTTTTCCTTCCACTTTTCTTTTTTTCTCTTACCAAACTAGAAAAAACTAGTGTAACTCTTATTTTTCTTTTCTTTTCCATCTCAAATTCCTTGAACTAAACATAGTGGAAGAGAATTAAAAAAAAGACTTTGGAACATGCACGAACAGAACTTGAACTTAGTAGCTTACCTCACACATGTAATAACCGTGGGATTAATGTCTCGATCCCAATCCTGGCCAGTGTATTGTTCGCGCTTTGATTGGAAATATTTTTTTATACAAGAATGTGTAGCTTTTTCCACTAATAAGCCCCTTGAACAGGGTCTATATTAGGACTTTTTAAGAAAAAAGTGGATTGAGACGATTGAAAAAATGTGAAACCATTCACCCATTCGGTTCCCATTCCAGCCTCTACCTTAAGAGCTCCTACCGTTTTCTTGCCTGCTTTTTTCTCTCCATCGCACACTCTCCAGTAATATGCCGTGTAAATGTGCACGTCTGCCTCTTGACTCTCGTTCAAGCCAATGACATCATATAGTATGTTTATAATCTTATCGGTGGCAGCCACCGTGTGTAGGGATCTCAATGTTCCACTTTCTCTGGATGACATAACTGTCAAATTGCTGGAACTTTTCTCTAGTCCTATTCTTCCTCCGATCTGCATAAAAGAAAAGACAAGGATGAAGCCTCGTGTCATTGGGCCCCTCTTTTTCTTCAAGAATGAGGGAATGAAGAATGATATGGAAAATGGAAGCATAAGAAGATAGAACAAAACAAGCCTGAAACTAACTTTATCTGGTTTCTGTTGTACTTTCTTTTTTGGCTGCTTCACGTTCAATACTTCAATTCTTCCCCTCGCAATCAGTGTTAACTTAAATATATACTTGCAGGATAGGAATGAAAAAGGCTATTCAAGGAGTCCATGAAATAATAGAGTTAACTACTCGCAAGGAGACAACTGAAAGGTATACGTCTAAGTTATGCTATTTTTCTTTTAATTATATGTGCTACAAAGTGCTCTGTACCATTTATGGCTTTTCAGTTTATATTATCCTCATGGGTCATCCTGAATGACCCCCCCACCCACCCAATCCTGCTTTGGGCGGCAGCCTTTGAGGCAATTGGGTAATGTTGTTGTTGTTGTTGGTTTATATGTTCTCACTGCAAGTCCATATTTGTATGAACGCATCAGTGAGGTGATGCAATCCCTGGAAGCAGTGAGGAAGGAGTTTAACTCGTCCAAAACAAAGATAAAAGCTTACGTTCAAGTGGGTCTCCTCTCTTTCTCTATCACTCCCACCCTCCCTTTCCCCTCCCTCCCCGTTTTCTCCCTCTCCCACCTACCCTCGCACTAACTGAAAACCGAATTTACTTTTTTTGCACGGGTAAAGTGATATGCTGCTGCTGCAAACAATTAACTAATGTTTTTTCCCGTTCTTTCTCTGCACCTGTAGCTCCTGCATTCGGTGGAGGCATCAACGTCCAAACATATACGCTCTTCAGATTCCGAAGATTGCGACTCCCCCTAGCTTTCCATGTACGGTGATGCGTGTTTAAGATTGTGTTCTAGTCGACGTTTTCTCCCATTGAATAAGAACAAATGTACTTAGTACTTACAGTACTACTTATTGATATATCATGGTCTCTTAGAGAATGCTCGTGTTGAATTTCAAGTTAAGAACATAATACCTTTTTTTTAAATATATACGTGATACTCCGTATTAATTTGACACCAAAAATCCAAGAACTTCAAAAAAAAACTCCAAAAAGTGAATCTCAAGTATGGAGTATTTTTGTAAAAAAAATTCAATTTTTTTAAAAGTCATTATAAGTCCTTAATTGATGTGTAGAGACAGGCTAAAGAGCCACATTCCAGTGTAGTTTTCTTAAGGGTTATGCTTGATTAATCCTAACATTTTAACCTTATCCTTTAAACCTACTCTTACAAACATTATATACACGGAATAATACTCCATCGGTCAACAAATGAATTTTTCGTTCACTATTCACAGAGTCAAATTTTATTCACTTTGTTGCCCTATTTTCGTCACCCATTTGATAAAATAATGTGGTCATGTCTCCTCTAATTTTGTAGATTTTTTAATATCATTTTATGTCCAAAATAAGATTTTGCATTGTTACGATGTGATACTATATTTGAACATTTTATAAATTTTTTGGGTATAATATTGAAACACTGCCTTTAATATATATCTATTTGTTTAGATGCTATGAATATGATTTATCACTTTCTTCCATTGGATTCTGATTTCTTTGGACATTGTGAAGAATATGTTGAACTTATATAGATATTGTTCTCTTTGTTTCCCTGTTGAACTTTGTTTCCTGCTCAAAGGTTTCATCATCTGATCAAGAAAAGCATCTCATTTTTCTTTGTTGCAATACTACTTCTACAATAGATGTCTCTCATTCAGATTTGTTTTGCACGAAACTCATTGTTGGATATATTTCATATGAAGAAAGTGTAAAACTGATTGAAAAAGAGGGATGTATAAAAGTGATGTACTCTTGTACACTTTAAAAGTGATTGAAAAGAAGGAAAAAGTGATTGAAGAATAATTTGGTTATGCGAGATTAGAAGCGCATTTTTTGGGTAGCTTTGGAAAGTGTGCATTTTGTCACGAGAGAGAAGAAGTATTAGATTGCATACTGTAACTACATGTATATTACTATCTTTTTTTTTTTCTCCGGGTATGTGTCTAGTTTTGATTTTTATATTCAAAATTAGTAAATTTTTACTCCAAATTAAATAAAATTGATATTAGATATTAATATAAAATAATACTCTCTCCGTCCCAAAATATTTGTCACACTTGTTTTTTCAGCAGTCGCGGGAACTTTTGTTTATTTCTACATTTTCATTGGTTATTTGATAAAATAAAATATTCTTGACACCTCTTAAATTATTTCGAAGAACTTTTCATGTAGTTTTTTTATATGTAAATTTTATTTTTATTTCTATACCAATATGTAAATATAATGAATTGAAAAAATTTGATATTTTACCTTGAGAATACAAGTGTGACAAATATTTATGAAAAGAGGGAGTATTATTTGATTTTTATATGGTATTTTCAAAATATTATTTTATCTATTCAATATTCATTATAAATTTTATTTAATTATAGGTCAAAAGTAAAGACTAATTAACATCAAAAAGTCAAAATTTGCAAATATTCAAGACAGGGTATTTGATAGTACTCTCTTTGTCCTCTAAGTAAAGTTTAATTCTTGATAACGAGATTTAATTGAGTTTATTTTTATTTAATTTATTTAATAATGATATTAAATGTTAAAATAAATTATATATATTTGAAAACTACATTAATGCCATTTGGAAAGGGTGAAAATCATTACCAAAGTCAACAGAAAATTATTTTTTTTCTTTTTTATATTTTTTTATTTCTGTAGAAAAAAAGATTTTTTTAAAAGGAGTGCATATATTTTTATGAAAAAAAGATAATTAAAATAAATTTCTATAATTAAAATATGTCACAAAAATGGAAAAAATGACAAAAACAATTACTTGCTACTGCATGACATGTCACTTCATCCGTTGGACACATGCTGATTGAATTCTTTTTAATTGGTTAAAAATTTTCCACACCACCACTTGACATTCCATTTTTTGGCTTGTATTTGACAATGCTATAAACCTTAACCTTAGGCACGACACAAAGTGCATCTCAAGCTTAGTTATATACGGATTATATATATACTTCATACGCGCGCGATCCGCATACTGACATTTCATGAATTCTTCTTGGAATTCCAAAAGGGGGGTTTCTTGATTCCCCGGGAGAAAAAAAACCCCAAAATAAAAATGGGAGCTTTGAGGATTTCCCTTTTCTGGTTCCTGATGATTTCCATGGCGCTGGCAAATGAGAATCCCGATGTCGCCCATATTGCCCTCCCGAGGCCTCTGGTAATGGAATACCCGGCAGAAAATGGGAACGAAGATGTCCGGATGAAGTGTACGAGCTGGCGGGTTGCGGCGGAGGCGAACAATCTGCGGCCGTGGAAGGCCGTGCCGGGGGAATGCGGCGGCTACGTGAAGGATTACATGACGGGGAAAGGGTATGAAAGCGATGTTGCGTTGGTTTCTGAGGAGGCCAGAGTTTATGCCAGAAGTGTGGAATTGGGAGGGGATGGTAAAGATGCCTGGGTTTTCGATGTGGACGAGACTTTGATTTCCAATCTCCCTTATTACTCTCAACATGGTTTTGGGTAAGTTTTATTTTTACAAATCAATTTCAGTTTCATATTAATTTTGAATTGGGTGTTCTTGAAATTGTGTTTTTGTTGTTGTGATGGTTTTCTATGTTGCACTGATTCTTCAAATAATTGCCCCTTCCCCATCCCGAAATGTCCCCGTTTGGGTATTTCGGACGTCTTCACATCCAAATCCTTCATGAACTTTGGAAAAGTTGTTTTTTTCCACGTTCCCGACCTCGTCCATGTCTCTGAACTTAGAAGGTTTTTGTGATAATATGGGCTCTTCGTAGATGTCTTTTATTACCCCGCCATGGCTTTGGGTATGATTAAAAGCTTCTAATGCTCATTAATCTATTTTAATTCCATTTGATTTGAATTGGGTGTTCTTGAAATTCTGGTTTTGTGATTGTTCTGTGATGTGGATAGTTGTAAAGTTTTGTTGATAACATATCATTTCAAATCTCCCTTATGCTAAGGATTAGACTTAACATCTAGAGTTTATCGCTTGTAGTCATCTACAGTTGCTAGGTATGTATAGATTATCTTGTAGAGTTTGTATTGCTCTCATGTCTCAACACGATTTTGGGCATGATTCTAAACTTGTAATCAGAGCACTAGTAAATTTTTAAATCAGTACATTTTGATTCCAATGGTCTATAGTTTGTGAATAGCGCCATTTTGAGTTTCCTTGAAGTTTTGTTTTGTTCTTGATATTTTGTTTTCTTGCATTTGTTATGATTTCTTGACTGCCATGTAGGAAAGCTTGGTTGAGGTTTAATGTTGTTGGGTGTACTGAGATTGTATTTAGGCCTTGGTCACCTAAGTTTACACGTTTGGTAAGATGGCGGGTTTGAGATAGACACTAAGATTAGAAAACAATGGGTCATGTTCTCTGTCTTCCAAGAATGTGGGAATTAGTTTCCTACTGTTGGTCAGATTCTTGATCCCTAACATTATAGATTCTTTCAACCTTAAAAAAAGGCCGAGCTTCGTAAAATACCAACGGCTTTATCAAGCTTCATCTCTCTCGTATTCTATTGCTTTCAATCGAGTTATCACACCATAAATCTGAGATCCGATGGGATTAATATCCACGAAATACATTTTTTTGTGTTTCTTTGTGGTTGTAGGATGATTTTGCTAATAATGTGTGGTTTTCTTTACATTATCTGGCAATGGTTTTGATTAAATGTTGTTGGGTGATTGTGAGTGATTGCAGGTTGGAGGTTTTTGATGGGGTGGAGTTTGACAAGTGGGTTGAGAAGGGAAGAGGGCCTGCGATAAACTCAAGCTTGAAGCTTTATCAAGAAATCAAAGAATTGGGATTCAAAGCTTTCTTGTTGACAGGAAGGAGTGATAGACACAGAGAAGTCACTGAGGAGAATTTGGTAAATGCTGGTTTTCAAGATTGGGATAAATTCATTCTTAGGTGAGTCTCATTCCACTATTTGACATTATGTTCTTTTACCTCTTCATATTCTTGTTTTTATCATGAAACTTAGGTCCATATAATGAAAATAAATAAATCAAATGAATGTTTATCATCACATCATGGAATCAATTATATAGCTACTGAAAATATTCATAAATTCGTTTGAGAATGTTACACTATGTTTGGTTTGAAGAATTCAAAAGCGAAAGAAAAGAAAACGGGATGGAGAAAAACAAAATTCCTCCCGTTTTGGAAAGGAAAATGAGAGAAAATCATTTTTTCAATTTTTTCTTACAGGTCAGCGGAGGACCATGTAAAATCGGCAGCCGTGTACAAATCGGAGAAGAGGAGAGAGATGGTGGAAGACGGTTTCAGGATCGTCGGAAACTCCGGCGACCAGTGGAGCGACCTCGTCGCCGTGGGTCCCACCGCCCCCTCCTCCATTTCTCAACGCTCTTTTAAGCTTCCAAATCCCATGTACTACATTCCCTGATTCTTCTCCCCCTGTATAGTGATTCCTGTAAATTGTAAACATTATGCATTTATGCCTTGCGTGAGAAGAATTTCATGCAAAAAGATTCAATGACTTGACTGATTCATGGTAGACAAACTACCCTTTTCCCCAAAAAAAATGAGAACTATTTTGGGACATTAGAAAAAGAAAAGTGAAAAAAGTCATGCAATTATCTGATGCCAAATGGGTATTTCCTTGTGCTAGCTGATCAAAACTGTTTATAAGAAGTTTTTAACTTATAAGTCATCTAATGATATGTTTCTGTGTGCTTAACTGCTTATAAGTCAGAACAAATGAATAGGTCTTAGCTACTTATTTTTATGTCATTTTTTTCATTTTCCTGTTTTGATTAGATTAATTACAAAACTGTTTCTCACCATTTATGGATATTTACAAATGACCTTATCTATCATTTAAGTCATTATATTTCCACGAAAGAATATTCGATTTATAAGCAGGTTATAAGTTAAAAACTGTTTATTAGCAATAATTCAATAAGTAACAGCACAGAAACACTTCCAAAATTAGTTTGTTGTACGTTTTGATATACGATGTCAATGAAAGAATAAAATCTAAATCTTGAAAAAGAAATTATAGAAAAATAAACACAATTTTTTTTATACATATTCATAGAAGTTTTCATATACAGTTTTAATTATGATCATATACATTATCAAAACGTATAGTGAAATGTCTATATATAATAATATCACATTATCACAATGTAAATTTCTATTTTAGAAAGAAAAATATAAGATTCTTTGTTTTTATTTTTTCTATACTTCACATCTATTTAGGACGATTTCTTTTAATTCAAGACAAGAGAAAGTAATAATGGGCCCTTTTTTGTCTTGGCCTCTTTACAAACAATTTTGTTTTTATTTCCGAGTACTTCATGTTAATTGAAAACAGAGCATTGTGGGCCACGGACGAAAGAGATATAGGGTGGGTCCCATTTTTAATTACGAAAAAAGAAATAATTCAAATTGGCCATTTACAAAATTCACGGGGCCATATTATTTTTTTTACAAAATACGGAGTACTCCGTATACTTGTACTTTAAGATTAGTAGTGAATTTGATTTTTAATAATCACTTTTATAGCAATTTGGATTTTAATATACGGAGTATAAATTTATATTAAATTCAAAATATCTAGTAATTAGAATAATAAACATCTAGCGATATTGAACTCTAAAAAATTAGAAGCCATGTGTGGGTGTTCATCTTATTTGCTCACTCTCCAGCTCACCCATGATAAAAGACATAATACTCTTATCTATACGATCTAGATAAATAAAGAAACAACTAATTATGGTTAAAACGTGTTCTAGTATTAAAATAAGACCTTCAATATTTTTATATCAAAATACTCCGCACAAGTTATAACTCAAATAATGTCAAACACAATAACCATCTGTGAAATATAAATATTTGTATTGACGACTTTGACGTTACGTTGTTGTGATTATAACATGATCTATCCTTATATACTCTCTCCATCTCGAAATAAGTTTTATTTTTAACTTTATAAAGTTAAAAAAACTGAGTGCCTCTGTAATGCACCTTGAGTGCATATCATTTTTATTGATCTTCTTACATAAAAAATATTTTTTTATTTTTTATTTAAGAAAATGTTTATTTTACTAATATGTAGGTCCATTATGAACATTAGATCCGTCATAGAATTTGCCAAAAAATATTCACTAGTATAGAATTTGTTTCGAGGAGAAAAATGTGTGAGTTACATTTTTCATTCTTTAATAAGAAAATAGTAATGTTCATTTAGAGACGGAAATAAAAGAAAATGGTGAAATTATTTTGGTTGAACACTTTTTAAGAAGAGAAGATTTGTGAGTCACATACTCACATGCTTCCTTTTTTTTTTAACCAGAAAAAAGATGTAAAATCTGTTTGAAAACATCATAAAAGAAAAAAGTAAAATTTATTTTGGAAGTATATTAATTCAAAAAATTGGTTACTTGAACTAAAACATTTCCAAATTTAACTGAACTTAGAAATCTAAAATACTCCGTAAATGAAACTTCATTTTTTATACTCTCTCCGTCCCCAAAAAAATCTTTCAATTAAATTTGGAATGTCTCAAAAAGGAGATGAAAAGTCTTTTTTAGATAGAGAAAGTAAAATAAACAGAAACTTTTCCAAAAAAAAAACATTATTTGAAACAAAAGTGAGGGAGTGTATGACTATCGCCAAACATGTTTTTTTATACGTAACAAATATCAGAATTTAAAATCATAATTAGAGAAACAATAGGGAGTGCTATCCATCAAATCGCACCGCTAGCTAGCTCAAAACTGAATAATTAGAGTCTGTAAATCATTAATTAAAATGAGTCAAATCCAAATAAATTCCATAAATTTCTTTACACTATGGAATATGATGTTGAACTGCTTTGATTTGTAAATCTATTTATTTAAATATTATTTTTGTAAAATTTAAATTTATTTATCCGTTGACTATAGTAGGAGTACATGTTATCCAATAAAATTATAGAGAATAAATTTCTTTTTAGAGTGATGCTTATGTGGTCTTAAGATATATACGGAGTATTTAAAATGTGGATTTTCTCATATTTTTAATGGGTCTGCATGTGGACATTTTCTTCTTTGCTAAAGGTCCACTCTTTTATGTTATAAATAAACTTATAATACTCTTAGGTCCATGAAATAGATATTGACTATAAGTCTACGGAAGAATTACTTTCTTTTTAAGCGTCCAAATAAGACTTACTCCGTATAATTTCTCTTATAACAATACACATTTTTCTCTCAATAATTAAAATGGCTATGATTCACCATTGATCCTTAATTTTTTGAATTATGCACAGTTAGTCCTTCAACATTGAAAATTCTATAAATAGTTCTTGAAGTCACGTTAGCATTTATGGTTGGTCCTTCTGTTCATTTTGTCATTACTCAATACATTTTTAAAAAATAAATTAAAATAGAAATTATAAAATGCATGAGCTAACGACAAAATTAATCGAAGGACCAACCATACAATACTAACGTGACTTGAAAGACCATTTATGAAATTTTAAAAGTTGAAAGATCAACCATGTAACGCTAGCATGACTTGAAGCACTATTTGTAAAATTTTTAAGGTTAAAGGATTACTTGTGATTTATAACACAAAAAGTGAAAGACTAACGGTCGAGGGTGTATGGTAATTTAGCCTGGATAAAATCGTAATCACATAAACTTATTGTTTTAATGCACGTGATGGACCAAATGAGAGAAAAATTCACTATGCTACATTATATATATATTCGTAAATTTATTGTTTTATAGTTAGAAATATGATACTTTTAGTGAGTCAACTAAATCATAATGGATAAAATAACTGTAAAAGGCTTTTTTCATTTGGAAGGTTGATTTTAGTGAGGCACAACATTTTTTCTTAACTCATTGGTCTCTCTTTTTGACTTGTGTACTCATTGTATTAGCTATCTGTCTAGTGATATATTAATTGGTTAATTACTTGAAGCTAAGTATTATTATTGTGCGAGTTATATTAGTGCTATATCAGTTGTCATTTTTTTTAATAATCTCTTGTATATAAATAAAGATATCATAATTGTTGTATTTATATAGTTATTAGTTATATATAGTTTTTATTCATGTAAAGTGAGTTTCTTTTAGAATGATAAATATATATAGTTGTATATAGTTGTCTATATATATAGTGGTCTACAATTTTGTTTTGATCTTTTATATATATATATATATATATATATATATATATATATATATATATATTCTGTATATATTTTGGTTAGATTCAGGAGATAATCACTTTGAGTGTCATCTGATAACATCGGTTCTAATTAGAATATTTACGGTGTTGCTTTTACACAACTGATAATTCACATGCACTAGCCTTCCTCTCTAAAAACCTCCCACAAAAAGTAAAGCGATCTATTTGTGTAATTATAATTCATTTTATAATTCCCCAACAATTTTAGTACTGTATTCCCTCCGTCTCATAAAGATTGCAACACTTGACTATTAAGAAATCACGAGAACTTTTATTTATTTTTGGGTTTCATTGATAATTTGATAAAATACAATACTCTTGTCATCTCTTGTTTTGTAGAACTTTTGACGTGATTTTAAAATATACTCCCTCCGTTCCAAAAAGAATGGGACGGTTTGATTTTTTGAGAAATTAAGGGAGGGATATTTTGATATTGACTTTCCAAAAATACCCTTGATGTGATGGGTAAAAGTAGGATGTGATGGGTAGATAATTAGAAAAAAAGTATGATGTGATAGGTAGGGTATGAAAAAGTAATTACGGGACGCAGTTTTTTCAAAACGTAACAAACTTTTTGGGACGGAGGGAGTATAATTTTTATACCAATATTTAAATAAAATAGATTAAAAAAATAAAAAATTTGCTTCATTTAGTATAAGAGAAGTGCTAGGCTCACAAACATTTTAGTCACAAAATACACAAACTTACTATTTATGTAATTAAATGTCTACTTTTTAATTATTTAACATTATTTAATTCACTTGGTGAAGTACACAAATGGCAAGTTTGTGTATTTTGTGATCGGAGTTTTTGTGACTTTAGTATTTCTCTTAGTATAATGTGGTGGAGTCATTTTTTTGGGATTGGAGAGAGCAAGACTCTCTTTAATGAAATCAATGGAGGGGAAGAGTGGTTTTCGAGTTGCTTTAATAAGGAGGTACAATAAATAATCACATTGATAGCTTTGGCCAAATTATGAATAGGAGAGATGGGTAATGATAAGGATATTGATGGTAAATTCCTACTCCCTTTATTATAAAAAAGGGTAAAATTTAAAATCTAATACGGAGTATTAGAATTACAATGCACCTTTTTTTTAAAAAAATTAAAGTTTACCATCAAAAAAGGATTACAATATCAGGATTATGTAAGCATCACTCTTATTTTGTAGAAGTTTTGATGTACTTCTGAATGATATAATTTTTACTTTTTTTTTTCTTCTACCAATTTGTAAATAAAATAATTTTAAACACTTTGGGACGGGGAAGTAAAGTGAAAATTTTAAAATTAATTTATAGACAGATAGAATGAATTACGGAGTATAAAATGTATTTTACTCCACGGTAAAGCAGTTACTTTAAGTAGAAAACCGTAGTTAAATTCCAGCCATTCAGCTTTCAACTCTCTCTCTCTCTCTCTCTCTAACGTGAGTACGTGAAGGTGTTTGCCACTCTTTTCCTCCCAATTTCCAAACAAAAACCTCATCTTCCAACAACTCTTTTCAGATTTTCCTCATCATTCAAATGCTTCCAAGAAATTTCAATCCAACGAAACCATTCTCCCCTCTGTTTTCTTCGCCCTCCTGTCACACTACATAGCTCCATTTCCATCTTTGCAAGCTCCGAAAAAATGGAAATCTCAGTCTTGAACTACACCCAGATTTGAAACCCAGATTTTTCCTCAAAAACCCACACAAAAAGACTCAATCTTTTCCAGGAAACACAGATGAAAAATGAAACACGCCCACGTTTTGCTGATCTTGGTCATACTCCTAACCTCGTTTTTCTTCTTAGCTTTGATTCTTTGCCTGTCGTGTTGTTTCTGTAGAAGGAGGGGAACTGAAGAGGATGTTCATAGAGACCCAGAATCTGGGTTTGAGGAAAGAGAAGGTGTGGTGGAGGTTAAGGAGACCCTAATGAATTTCAAGGGTGGGGAAGATCTAGGGGTTATTGACATTCTTGATGCTCCTGGGGAGGTGATAGGGAAGTCAAAATATGGGACATTGTATATGGCTTTGCTTAGGTCTGATAAACCAGCACTGTTGAGATTCTTTAGGCCACCCTGCACTTTGAGCCTTAAGGAATTTGTCCCCATTGTTGAGCTTTTAGGGTCAATTAGGCACCCAAATTTGGTGCCTTTGTTTGCATTCTATGCTGGGCCAAGAGGGGAGAAGCTCCTTGTTCATCCCTTTTATCGCAGAGGCGATCTGGCTCATCTCATTGCAGGTAAAAATCAAGTCTTTGATAGATACATTTTGTTGTTCTTCACTGCAAATGATTTCTCTGCTTCGATCTTAAGATTTGATCCCAAGATCCCTAGCTTTGGGGGGGGGGGGGGGGGAGCCTCCAACAGGTTACCTGTGATATTTGTTTTTTGTTTTTAACTTTGTTGAATTTGTCAAACAAGTCCTTTAAAGTGGTGCATTGTTTGTCAACTTTTCTTTTATTTTCTTCTGAATATGATTCTTTTTGGTAATGTCATTTGAGAGCATTCAGCAGACTTTAGGCTCCCCTGACTAGTTTTTCCCAAGCCATCCGGCTTTAAATGTACTTCTTTGGCTTAAATGGATGCGACAAAGCACTTATTATTTCAGAAGATTCAGTAAAAACTGAAGCATAGGGACTTTGTCAAAAGTCTTTTTCTGGATTTAGACAAAAAACTGTTTTTTAGTGCTTTAATCTCCACACACAAAATGACCATTTAGCTAATAGGTCTGATTAGTAATTGTTTGGATGAAATGTTTGAATCTGGTGATAGGAAAACTGTTTGGTAACATCTATTTGATCCAAACAAGTTAGTCAAAGGCTACTTATTCTGTTGTAAAGCAAAATAAGCTAATTAAGGCTGCCAAACAATAAATACACCATCAATAGCTTATGTACTATTGCCTTTCAATGAAGCAGATGGCAATGGCGAGGTTCACAGATGGCCTACCATATGTATGATCTCCATGGGAATCGCAAGAGCTCTGTACCACCTCCACACTGACTTTGAAATCCCCATAGTCCACGGGAACTTGAAGGCGAAGAACATACTTCTTGACAGTCATTTCCAGCCACACGTCTCAGATTTCGGTCTCCATTTACTCTTGACACCAAAAGCAGGACAAGAAATGCTTGAAACTGCTGCTGCTGAGGGGTACAAAGGTCCAGAGCTGATAAAAATCAAAGACATTAGTGAAGAAGGAGATATATATAGCTTCGGAGTGATCTTGCTGGAACTCCTCACTGGGAAAGAACCATTTCTTGGCATCTCATCGCATCTCAGCTTGCCAAACATGGTCAAGAGTGCCATAATTGAGGAACGGATCACAGAGCTGTTTCATCCTATGGTTCTTGTTGACCAAAAGGAGGGCCGTGTCGTGGAGTTGCTTCGGTTAGCCATGGATTGTTGCTCCCCATTTCCTCCTCTAAGGCCTAATATTAAGGAGGTTTTAGCTAGGCTTCAAGAAATTGGAAGGGCAACAACAACAACAACAACAACAAAAACCCAGTAGAGTCCCACAGAAAGTAAGGTTTGGGTGAGAATGTGTGCAGATCTCACCCCAACTCGGGAGTAGAAAAGGACAACACAAAGACGCTGACGAAACTAACATTTTAGGGTATGCGGTACTCTTCAAAAATTGATCTTGAAATGCAATTCCACGTCCGAATATGTTCATCTCATTATTCCTTCAAAGTGAAGACGCAAAGTTTTGCCACTTTTTTGCACGAATTTATAGCGTTAAATGGTTTGATTTGACACGATAAATTTAGTGTCACAGGCCCTGACATAGTTGATGATGGGCCAAAAGATTCTGCAGATGAGATCTTTTTTTTTCAGGAATGTTTCAAGAATGAAGAAGACACTCATTTCTGAAAGATGAGTTTGTGGTTGGAAACACAGGAAAGCCTTTATATATATAGATTGATCAGATCAAACTAATGACAGAGTAGTAGATTTGACTGTATGTATGTATACATTTGCTTATTTCAAACCATATGAGCAACTTTATTTCAAAGCATATTGTTCTTCAAATTATATTACAGTGCATTTTTCAATTATGATCTTCTTGAACTGAAGCCACAATGCGCATTCCATTTCCAATTATTTGTCTTTTTTCTTCAGCTGTCAATGCATTGAAAATGTTCACACACACTTCCCCTCCCCAAATAAAAAATTAGGTTTTTCTTGTTTGTCTGTCCCAAAATAAATTATATTTCTTTTCATTAAAAAACGAATGAATGGTTAATAACATTTCTATCTCCTCTAAACAAATTCAATCTAGACACTATCTTTTACGTAGTACTCCGTAACAATTTTCTTCAACTTTATGAAGTCAAACTAGATTTTTAATTTAGCCATGAGGGGAGTATGTATAATAAAAGCTTACTGGTAAAAAAAGTTTTCTTTTGGATTGGTATGTGCTCTAGTATATAAGAATCTTTCCAGTTGCTTGTGGGAGTGGAACACCTTTTTCTTTTGGGGGGGGGGGGGGTAAATTGAATCATTTATCCTTACTTTTCTTGATGCTTTTGCATTGAGATTCCTTATTAAACAAAAAATACTACCCATATTTTAAATTAATAAGTACCATCTTTTTTAAAAATATTAGAGTTACATCAAAGCAACACTTTTTTTGCTTGAGTAGAATACTTGATCCGAAACGGATAATATCATACTAATGTGTAATTAGAGTAACAACAAGAAATCCTAACATGAGATTACAACAATACAAACACAAAAGGAATTGCATTGAACTTCACATAAAAAATTATGATAGACAAGGAGATCCATGT